ACAGTATATATGTATACACAATATACATGGATATATATATATATATATATATATATATATATATATATATATATAAACTAAACGTGTATGAATAGTAACTTGTACTTCAATATCTACACAATATACGGAATGGACAGACAAACTTAGTTACAGTAGCAAACAGCAGCTTCATAATGGTTAATTGCAATGTTCAGTGTATTATCTATAATGGTTTTGTGTTGCAGATAAACTTTAGAGTAACTAATGTGCATCATTTTAATATCAAGATCAAGTACCAGTTTTCCTGTGCCTGTGTATGTTCCCTCAATGGAGCATTGCAGTTTTTTTTTTCTTTTAATTTGTTCATTTGTTTTAACTTTTTTTTTTATTTGGAAAGGAGCGATATTTATATTATGAAACTAGTTCATGTAAAATGTGGTTGTAACCTTTTTGGGCATTGATAATTTGTTTGCTTTTGATGGTGTAGTCGACTTTATTTTACTATGTACATTTTTAACAGTTTGTGGACATCAGGAAAAATATGTCCTTGCCTAAACCCAGCCATGTCACCTATACCTCTCTCTCCTATTGGTTCTTAAGTTGTACTTTTTCTTACGTGATGTTCTGTAATGAGTAATGGTAACCATTCTATTTATTTATTTCTGCAAACATCTCTAGATGTACACTGAGGTAAAACTCCTTCTGAGAGCAGGTGACTGCGCTCCCTGTTTTTGGAATTTTAACATGGTTCACTTTGTACAGAAATGAGTTGCGGACCATCAGAGGTATTTTAGAGAGTCAGAGAGGTCTTGAGAGAGAGAGTTTTTAACTCATTCCTCTTGGAGGACGCAAGTTTTTCATTGTCTTACCAACACTTCCTTTCCCCTGTAGCTTCGAGAGATCATGTTGATGTTAATACTGACAGTTTTAAGGTTTTTATTTCTTTTATTTTCTCCAAGTTGCCCCATCAGTGTTTTACCATTTTACAGAAAAATGAAGGAAAATGTGTTAATCTAAAATATTCAACCACAAACTACTTAAGGATGAATGTATAATGAGGAAAAAAATTGTACATAACTGTAAAAAGGAAAATTTCTAATCATGTTTATTTTCTATGCACTTTTTTATTTAAGTGATAGTTTAAATAATAAACATGTCTCGTTTACTCAAACTTGATATAGTGTCGTTTTTAAATTCCTAGAATTTTTAGACCAGTAGTTTTCTGGTTTTGCATCAAGACCCATATTTAATTTTGGACCTCAAATGGTGACATGGTACACTCTTAAAATAATGGTTCCAAAAGGGAATTTCACAGCAATGCCACCATTTTGGGTTCCCCAAAGAACCTAAATATCCTGACGAACCTTTCTCAACTATAAGAACCTTTTGTGCAGTGGAAATGCTCAATGCATGTTAAAGGTTCCTCACTGAACTATAGGTGCCAAAAAAGAACCATCATGTTTTTGTTCAATATTGGTGTTCAGGAACTTGACCCAACCAGTCATGTTAACCAACAAGAAGGAAGTACAGCAGATAGTATTATTCTTAAACAACAAAGGGAGAGAGAGAAAAAAAAAGTAATTTGCTGTTTCTGGTTGTGTAGCACCTACTGCTCTGCATATCCATCTGAAGGATCACATTGCTGGAAAGAGCTGCTCAAGTTTATTTTCAACAGATTTCTTATTTCTGTCTGCTCTAAACTGTTTGTTTAACAAATTTTGTCAACCTGTCATAACATAAAACAGGCCTTGCAAAAATTTAAGTTTTATTGAAGAAAACCGAACCACTTTTGGCCTTGGTTTTACGTGCAAAGAATTTTAATTGCAGGTACAACGGAAAAAAAGCTGCTTAGTTTTAATGGTTCGAGAGACTAAAATGTTATGATGTAAGACACAAAAAATTATCTAGCATTACAATTTAAAAATATAACTTTATTGAAACCATTCACACCAAAAGATTGAGAAAAGGGTGTCTAGTTCCAGCCAGCTGTTCATAATGTGAAGTACCTGGTCTCATGAAACTTTACAGACAAGAAGGAGCCACTAGCAGTTTGTCGTTAGTAGTTTATGAGCCATTCGACCTATAATGAGAATTAAAAAGCTGAATAAGTGTTCTAGACAGGCCTGGATACCCCGAATGGGGAAGCTACCAGAGTAACTAGAACCATGTGTCTGAACTGCCACCCACATCAG